ACTTCGGCGACATCATATTCTTTACAATAATAATTGACTTAAACTATGTTATATGTTTATATCTTATACTAATATTATAAAATGAAATGATTTGGTTTTTTGTATGTTTGTTTATTTGTAATGGATACACTTAAAAACTATTCCGATTTTAAAAATTCTTTCACCTATAGATGGCTATATTATCAGCGAGTGACATAGGTTATATAGTATTTAAAAAAAATAGAGCTGCCTCATCAAAATTACAATAATATAGCCCAAGGTATTTAATTTTGCCCATTAAAACTAATTATATAAAAATAATATTGCCGTGTGGTCCCGGCGTAGACCAGGTCACCGCTCCCTTTCCCGTATGTATTGTAAGACGCGACTAATCATGTATTTATTACTTGTGTGGTTGTTTTTTTAAACATGAATTCAATAGAACATTTTCTCAAACAAATGTTACTCACGTAATGGTTTTTGTGATTATATTGCTGGGCAGAAACAGAAAGAGAGAGAGAGAGAGAGAGAGAGAGAGAGAGAGAGAGAGAGAGAGAGAGAGAGAGAGAGAGAGAGAGAGAGAGAGAGAGAGAGAGAGAGAGAGAGAGAGAGAGAGAGAGAGAGAGAGAGAGAGAGAGAGAGAGAGATAGAGAGAGAGAGAGAGAGAGAGAGAGAGAGAGAGAGAGAGAGAGAGAGAGAGAGAGAGAGAGAGAAAGAGAGAGAGAGAGAGAGAGAGAGATAGATAGAGAGAGAGAGAGAGAGAGAGAGAGAGAGAGAGAGAGAGAGAGAGAGAGAGAGAGAGAGAGAGAGAGAGAGAGAGAGAGAGAGAGAGAGAGAGAGAGAGATCGATATCAGAGAGAGAGAAAGAGTCTCCTCCAACTGAGAGAGAGAGAGAGAGAGAGAGAGAGGAGTACCAGTCCTTGTGGAACTGATCGAGATCGTCTCCATATATATTATACGGATGATTTTTTTATAGTATAAACTGAAGCAATTATCAGTTATATACCTAATTTAGAAAAGTTTGACTATTTTGTCTATTATTATCTAGATTGTTTTGACTGAGAATCGAGCCCAGACCCTCATACACGCAAAGCAATATGCCCGCCTCTACCAGACAACACAGTATCGTATCGTACAGGCTTTCATAATTCTACAAGTATTATATTGAATAACGCGATGATAGTCCCGTTGGAGAGAGCTTCACTGAGGTCCAGGGCGCGGGGGGGGGGGGTCCAAGATCGAATCCCAACAAATTATTATTATTTATAAATTTCAGAATTTTTCAATTTACGTTTAAATTATTTAATAATGTTACGTAAATATTATATAAACATTTTTTTTTACAACTTAGAATGGCAAACAAGCTGACGGCCCACCTGATGGAAAGTGATAACCGTCGCCATATATATGAGCAGTACCATGGACATAACAGAGTTTTTTCATCTCTGATACCCCCTTGCGTTGCCATTATCAGTTATATACGCTATATCCCACCCTTCAAACCGAAATACAGCCATGCAAACATAGCTGCTTCACGGTTGAAACACGAATGGGACAGAGGTACCCAAGCAATCGACTTTTGTACGAAGTCTCCCTCAGATGACAACCACAAGAATAGTGGTAGTTATTGATATATTGGAAAATATTGTCAACACACAATCGGGACTCAACGCGATGTAAAAGTTTTTACAGGTAAATAGTACGTACACACCTGCTTCTTGTGTATTTAAAATATGTGTAAACAACGCGAAAGTTTTAAATTAAATACTGGAGAATTTCGCTTTATTTGCTTATTGTAGTGAATTAAGAGGAGAATAATAAATTGCTGTGTGGTCCCGGCGTAGAGTGGGATCTCTTTCCTTTCCCGTGACTGCCGTAAGAGGCGACTAAGGGATAGCGAGGGATGGGCAGCAGCATCCCTCTTAAAATACCTCCAAAACCTAACTGCGGTTGCCAATTCGCCTGCCAAGCGTAGTAACTATTGGCAAAATTCCCTAAGGGGGAGGATTATGTTCAGTAGTGGACAGTTAAAGGCTGATATGATGAAGAGGAGAATAAAGGGTTGGCGTAAGTTTTTCATTGCATCCCTCCCTTCCGTCTGGCATATAGAGTAGATTTGGTGAGATTTTACGTAATCTCTTCGTCCCTAGTATCTCAGATGTTGAATGTACGCACTGACTACGTACGTACGATCAAATACGTGTTACCGCAATGCGAGCGGCGCGGCGTGTCCTGTATTCCAGCAATAAAACATTTGGGACCATCCAGCGGGGATGCGTCATATTTATGTGCGATTACGATTCGATCCAAATGTTATTTCAATGAGAATTTTAGTGGGAATTTGTATAAAGAACACGTGGTGCGGTGTCGCATTGCAACGATAAATAACGTAGAAAATTCACGATGCCGTCTCGAATTAGCTTTCCGGAATTCAGTAGTTTATCTCTTATTTTTTATATAAGCCATGTTTTTTCCTTTAACTTAACCAGAGCGGTGAAGTGGTCACAGGTATTGCGATGATCTTAGTGGTGTAGCGGTTTAATATATGGCCTTATTTGTTGATGGTCGCAGGATCGATCCCCGCATAGAACAATTGTTGGTATTGTGCGGGAATTAGGATACACTGCTTAGTTTGGACCTAGTTGCAATAAACAGTAATTTTTTCTTTCGTATATATATCTTTTATTGTACTTGAGATACTTGAGTACATTATGTAGAACACTGAGTTTTAGTATGGCAATATTTGCATGCCATTTGATGTGGTGAAACATAATAGACATCTTGTAAACTTGACAAATGCAACATCTTATCGACAATGTTTCTGGCAAATAAATTTAATTTCATAACTAAGATACGATGCTTTTCATCACAGAAGATCAATGTAAACATGTATAACTACATACCGCGGGTGGTGATCATGCGTATGGCCCGTTGATAGTGAGCGACCGTCGAGACCTACAACGTGAACGCTACAACACTATATAAGTCGCTCGCACGTTGCCGACCCTTGTCACACGCAAAATCGTACTTTAAACTGGAACGTAGCCTCTAAGCCGCCGCTCGCCGGAAATAGGTGAGACATGTGACAAAGTGGCCACACTCGTGCAGCGAGGGCGAACGTTCACAGTGCAGCGTTACGCAGCGGAGCGGTCCCGCCGCGCGATCGTTATCGGACACGTGTCGCCTTACTTCTGCTTGCGTATCAGCGTCTCGTGTTGAGCCGAGTCACGGCCACACGGGGCATCGTTTGTACTGCGATCTGACACTACCTTTAAGTGGCATAATTTGCGGATTTTTTTCTTATAATATAACGGTACAGTTATAAATTTGATGTTGCATATTGTGTAAAGCGCTGTCATTATCCGTCCACTGCTGGACATAGGCCTCCCCCATAGACTGCCAGCGCGTCTAAAGCGCTGTGTTTCCCAATATTTATTTCCTTAAAATCCTTTTTTGTTATACAACTTAGATTGGCAAACAAGCTGACGGTCCACCTGATGGAAAGTGGTAACCGTCGCCTATAAACATGAGCAGTACCATGGACATAACAGAGTATACTGTTTCACCAGTGATATCCTCCATGCGTTGCCATTCCTGAGGACTCAGGTGTTATTCCTCTGTATCCAGTAAATTCACGACATATCCCACCCTTCAAACCGAAACACAGCTGCGGTTCACGGTTGAAACACGAATCGACTTTTTAAAATTATTAAAAAAAGTAGCCAACGAATTTAACAGTTCTTAAATAGATAATGTGCTTGCCAACGACCAGTATTTCATTTATTCAAACGACATTAGCGTGTATGCATTGTAAAGCAGGAGCAAGAAACATGGAGCACACAAGTCAAGACACGAAAGACAATCTAACTTTTCATCTTTACTAAATTGGTTTATATTATTGCCAAATAGAATACGCCGAGTCAACAGAAAAGTGGTTTCCAAACATCTAACTTAATTATACCAAGGAATGCATTAGTTATCGTGCGTATTGACTTCCTGTACAAGACTGGAAGTTGTAGCTCTCTGCAGTGGCGTGTAGTATCGCCGGGACGCGACGGCCTCTCGAATTACCTCGAGTGTCAGAGTGCCTGCGTCTGCACTACAGTACAATGGGCGAGTGTAGACTGCAGACGGCGTGGCGCAGCGCGGCCAACTTCGCCGCTTCACCTCGTATAAAGTTTCGCTCCAACATGCGTCACATACAGTCCGCAAGTTATGCTGCACATACACCGCTGTGAATTCAATGCGTCTCTCCGCTAAATATATTTATTAGCGTTTCTGACATGTTAATATCTGCAATATGTCTGTACTAATAATATAGAGTCGAAAGATTGCTTCTTTGTAACGGATAAACTCAAAAACTACTTAATAGATAAAAAAAATACTTTTACTAGAAAGCTTCATTGTTAGCGAGTAACATAGGCTATGTATTATTTTCAAAAATTCCATCGACCCGTGCGAAGCTGGGTCAGATCACTATTGATTTTATACTTACAAATTTCTTAACAAATAATGTATTTATTATGTTTTAAATATGTTTTATATTATTTTGCGTTTTATAAATGCACACTCGAGCATCAGTGACGTGAGTGTTGCGTTGATTGGGTGTGAATGACTAGCTTACAATATATTTTGACGCTATTTTTAAATTATAAATCCAAATTAAACTTACAACTGTAAGGCCATGGTACTATTTGTTTAATGGGTGAATATGTTCTGGTAACTCTGTTTCTGCTAATGGTATACGTTGGCGTGGCTCCAGAGATAGTAGGTGAAGATGAAAGTAGCTCAGTTGGCTTACAGCGACAAATTCAATGAGAATTAACCACGATGTTTTCAAACGGAATTATGTGTAGGTCGATCTGATAGTTAACAGTGAGACTTTATACCTCATTACTAACGATCCCTGCCCCTCCACTTGTCGATACGGAATAGAACTATCGAGTGCGATTTCAATCTGTGCGTGGAGAACCTATTTATGTGTACAGTGTACATGTGATTTATGATTTATAATATGTTAATATGCGTGCGATTGTCCGCAGGCGCAGGCAAATCTATCGTCGCACCGCGAGTACGTGAGCAGCAAGCTGGCCGCGCTCGGCCGCTGTGTCGCCCGTCTTGACCAAGCTCTAGAGCGGGTCGCTGCCGCTCGACTTGACCCACCCTCCGCGGTTAGTATTATTTCCATCAAGCACTATCTTTAATTTGGTCAAGAGCCATTTCGGATGTTAAGGGAACTGATGTATCCAAACGTAGCGATCGCCCAGCACGTTTTTGTGTCGACAGGAGGTGGTGAACGAGTACGAGGCGGAGGTGCGCGAGGTGCTCGAGAACTACAACAACATCGAGCTCGAGTGCGTCGACGCGAAGCAGACCGTGTCGACGGAAGTGCGGGAAAAGGTGCAGCGGCTGAAAGAGGACTGGGCGCTCGTGCGGGCGGCTAGCGGCGCGGACGCATCCGCGGACGACGTTACGCGGACGGTCGAAATTACGCGGACGGTCGAAACTACGCGCGCGGTCGGACAGTCGCCACGAGCCCCGGACGCCGCCGGGGCTGACGAGCAGGCGCCGGACGCGGCCCGGGCCGCCGGCGAGGACGCCGCGCCGCCCGCCGACACCGCTCGCCGCAGTTCACCCGACAGCCTGCACAGTGGTGAGTCTCTCGCTCGGGTACGGGGAGTGGGTATCACTTGAACTGGCTGCTGGCACCGATCCACCGGCGACATGTTAGAATGCTCGAACAATCACTTGATTAATATGCGAGTTAAATGATGAGGTGGTAGTTGATATGAGATGAAAACAATTATCATATATAAAATCACGAAGGATCTATTAATGTTTCCTATATTATTTAGTCCTTCGAGCCGGATTTGAACCTATTCCTACACATACTCGATATCAAATTAATATTAATCCACTGATGGAAACGTTTACATGATACTTTTGGTTCCCCTAAAAGTGTAATCAGCAGTGATATTAAATAAGTATTACAAAAGTAAAATTTTGCAATTTATTCAGTGTAAAAGAATTAAATACTACAATTCGACCATTCTAACATCGCTCCGATCAGTAATAATTGTACAATACGTAGTGCCTTATGTACATAATAACATTGGTTTGGTTAATAAAATGTTGGGATACTAACAGCTCGTTTCATTTGGTAAGAGTAAACCCTTTTATTAACAACGTGTGTGCCCGTGTGTGTGTGTGTGTGTGACATTTATGTTGACAACTCTTTATATGGTGCGCGTGTGTGTATGTATAGAGTCGACAAATTTACACAGCGTGATGATTCGTCGCGGAGTTCATATGCAGTAAATATTTATAATATTGTATATTAATCTTGCATAAACAGCTATAGTAAGCTGCAGTTTCGTGGACGTTATCACATTTTATTAAAGTTATTCGTCATATTTACTAGGCTTATATAATGTAACATGTACAAACACATCAGTAATAACTCTTAAAAAAGCACCTAAACGTACATTCCGGTGCTGTTTTAGTGCATACATTTTTGAATGCTATCAACTTTATTAAATATATATAATGAGTATCTTTAAGTGTTCTCATCACGTTATGTATTTATAAGAGTGTGGGAATTGTGTAGTTTCATTTGTGTGGTGTCTGTGGTGACATGTATATTAACATACTAACAGCTCTATGATGGTCTTACTAATACAGTAGTTTCAACACCGCCTGTTGTAGATTGCTCGGCTCATGTATTAATTAATAATATAATAATCTACTTAAATATAATACCTACTAGTTTTTTTAATTGTCTGCAAAATTGACGATTAAAGTATGTCAAGAAAATCAGGTCATTCCAAAACTTCGAAAAAAAAAACAATTATTGTAAGTGTACAAAAGTTATATGTTTAACTACTGGGTTGTTATTGGTCGATGTTAGAATAATAAAGAGCGTCGCGTTGTGGAGTGAATATTTTATTGCAAGCAAGTAAAAAGGCTACAGCCAGACTAGTTTACAAGAGACAGTGTGTTAGTGTTGCCACGTACAAAATTAAGACGTTACTATTTACATATCATTGCCAGATGCAAAATAGAAATTAACGGTAGTTTTTAACAAAAAATGTAATCTTAAATCATGAATAATCGCTGATCAAAATGCGTTGCTCCGTTGAAGAGCAGCGCGTCAATCAAGTTTCTCTCGAAACTCGGCAAGAATGGCCGTGAAATTTTTGCCGATCTCAGATTTACCAGAATTGGCGCGAGAGGGGCGTTGGATTCTTCACCACGACAATGCCCCTGCCCACACCTCTCTTGTTGTCCGTGAGTTTTTGAAAAAATTCCATTACGGTAATTGTCGTGCTATGCTGATGCAATATTAAAACAGGAAACATTTTTCGTAAATGGGCCCAGTTTAAAAGACTTTTTAATTGCTTTCAAGGTTCAGTAAGTTCTCGATTTACTTGTATCTACTGGTCTATTTTTTTTTCTAAACTTATGTCAAGTCGTTGCAAGTTGCATTCTAATGTGACACTTGGGACTGAATTCACTCATAGTTGTACTATTTTTGATTATTATTTTTTTTTTTATGTACACGAACTGTTTGTATTTTAATATACGATTATATGACATTAATAATTAAGCATTTTGAGCGGCGTTAGCTCAATCAGACGACGCGATGCTTGACTGCGGTCCAGGGATCCCAAAGTAGAATCTTTGAATTTTTAGATTTACGTCTGGATCTAAAATTAAACTGTGTTCCACAAAAAAACGGACTTCAATTGTGTAACACCAGTTATTTTGATTGAAAAATTAAACTAATAAATCGATTCTATGTGACCAATCTGCAGATTCCTGTATATCCTCTCAGGTAAAAAAAAAAATACAATTTTTCAAATCGGTTTACAACTGACGGAGTTAAAAGACAATAAATATGAAAAAAAAATTACAACCGAATTGAGATTCTTCTTTTTTAAAAGTGGGTTGAAAAGTCATTTGCTACGTGATTCAGAGGTCGTGTAACATCGTCGTCTGACACGATAAGACATGCCAAGGGACCCTTGACCCGGTCGTTATGAAATGATGTAAATGACATGTTACACTAGAACTCTAGAAGGGTGGTATTGTGTGATAGGCAGGAGGGCAGCAAGGGGGGGGGGGAGTGATCGGACGACGACAGTTTCCATCAAGTTAATGGCGGCAAATTAACGGGCGGCCGCCGGGGCTGGCCTGCGCGCGTACCTAACAAGTTTTTTCATTAACGCTCCTAAATCCCGACTTGTTTTGACTTACTTCGTAGAATATTAATCGTATGTGCCAGATGAGAGCCCGTCACGTTTTTGAACAGTGCTAACGATGCGAATTTTTACAAGATTACAGAAGTTTTACAGTGAGGCTTTTAGAGGTTTTTTTTAAATGAGAGAGCCTTCTAATTTCTTTTTGATTATCTGATCATGCTTTATTTTTTTTCACCTACCCCCCATAAGGGCTTGAACATGAAGGTAGATAAATAAAATCTGTACGAGATAGTCGTTTTATTCACATATTATCAGAACCGTAGTGCTAAAATTGTATGGGTACCTCACCTATGTACATATAGGTCACTTATACCGTAAATGAAATAAACCTCATTAAATATATTTAGGTGTAGATATTTATGTAAATAAATGAAGTTACTATTTTGTTTACATTTTGTAACAATTTAAATTGAATTTATTGAGTCATACCAACAATAGTCTGTTAGCTACAAAACAATGAGTGTAAAGTGCAGTAAAAACAACACGAAGGCACAATACGCTCGATCCACTGTTGCAGTGTTACAAGTGCTTTGTGAATCTCGGCACAGCTCGACATCAATCATTGGCAAAAAGGAGCATAACATTCCGCTAATGAAATACGAGGTCACTTTACCAGACATGCGAGTACTCACAAATCACAGCAATAACGGCTGTCAGTGGCAGGGGCGCGCGAGTCGCGTGTTGCGGCGACAGTCGCGCGAATAGCGCGCGGCGACCAACGGTAGTCGCTCATTTGGACGACAAATTGCACATCTGCATTGCGTACATTTAAATTCAAATTTAAGAAACAATATAAAGAATTTCCGACAAAGAATTCCGCATATAATCTGAGAATGGTAATTGGAATGGCGTTCCTTGTACCGTATATATAGGAATGTATATTTAAATATTTAGGTAGATAATAGTGGCGGGCGTACAGAGGGTAGGCTGAAATAAGAGGAAGGCACGGCGTGCCAAGACGTGAGCTCATTTCCACTATACTACAAACAGAGCTGCTATAAGATATAGGCGGGTGGCGATTAGAAATATTTAATATTGTTGTAGCTAATTGTGGTACATTGTTAACCAATATAAAGGAATATAATTATGTAATCTTAACATACAGTCCACACACCAATCCATACAGATATACCATACATCCATACTTAACTCACACAAATACACTACACGCCGTCACCTATCGTTTTATAATATAAGTATTTGTAAACAGGGATTGTTACACCAGTTCACATTAAAACAATGTAGTAAGCAGACGTGTCATTTGATTTTCTAAAATAGATCAAGCAAAAATATTTTTGAACCTTAAGTGCTCCAAGAAATATTATTTTTAAGTAAAAAAGGAGAAGTTTCTAAATTCGCCTGTATATATTATAAAAAAATAGTTTTTTTTTTTATGGAACAGGCGAGCTTGCGGGTCACTTGATGGTGACTCGGCCACCCATGAGCGTCTAAAACACCGGAGACATTGCAGTATACTATACGAGTATACAATACTTTCATTAAAATCGATGATAAATAGAAGATATCTCTTAACATAAAAAAAAAAAAAAAAAAAAACTAGTGAACTGACAACTTTATTAGTTTTGAATTTGATTATAAACGAGTAGTTGCTTACTTATAATAATTTATTACTTATAATAATTGTCTTAAATATATTGTAAAAAATGTCCGATGTACATACATGACATTGTTTGTACACAAGAGTCCGCGAAATAAAAATGTCGATTGGTAATATAAAATTTGATTTGCACGCTTGCGCGATATCGTTTGGGGCGCATCGTATTCTTCACAAAGCGTGCAAATTTCCTTATTATTAGCGAGTTTGCGACAAACGCTCGCTTTAAGTGGAATACGCCACTTGGCAAGTTAAAAATTTAAACTTAAGTACATACGGCTTTATTATAAGTTCTTAGCAAGTTACCTTACGAAAACTTTTACAGTTTTTCTTGGACTGGAAACATGAAAATATTTCCAAAATGTAAGTTCTTTGTCATCACTAGCGCAGCGGCACTGTAAAAAGAAACGACTGAAAGAGACACGACCCACTTGTAATGGGAGTAGAAGCGAAAAAACTGGAATAACAAACAATGCGCGTTCTGTCATTGTGGGCACCGTGCCCCTCGCGTCCTACATACACGTGACGTCACAAAGCAAAGTTTCTGGGGCGAGAATCGCGCTGCCAGCAATGTGGGGGCGGCGCCGGCCGTGCCGTGCCTCCCGTCATTACTCGCGAGCTGTTTGTAGACGCGTCGCCACGTCCCCACCACCTGAATAAGTAGCCCTTCAGAGCCCAAGCTACATATAACTTGCCCACTGTCAGTAGATTCATCGAGTCGTTTCTTATCCACGGTCCAACTGCGTAGTTCGAATGGTTGTGTTACTAAGGGCGATG